TCTAGTGCTGCCCAGACCCTGAGCAGTCTAGCACCGCTACTGAAAGCCTGCTGCAGCATCTCAGTTAGCCCCTTGCACTGTCTCCTCTCTCATACTGATGTAACTGTTAGTGTGGCAGACCTCACTGAGGTGGATGAAAATGAACTTCAGTCTTAAGAAAAAGACCCCTAGATTATTCTTCTGCCATGATCGTAAGGCCACGCAAGCATGAGGCTGAGGATGGATATGCAGCAGCAATGACTGCTTATAGTAGATTGAATTAACAGTCATAGCTTCCAGAAAAAGCTGGGAGAATATAGTTGTGTAAACCACTTAACGCTTCTGAATGTCTGACTAGTTAATTGAGCTGGAGTTTACAGTAACAGACTTTTAGAGTAATCTAAACTCCGCTTGTCCTGACATGGTTTCCTTTGTGGCTGGAATAATAACCCCACCCAAAAAAAGAAAAAAAAAAAGAAAAAAAAAGTCAAGTAGATGGTAGCCTTGTTTTGTTTGGGGAGGGGACTAAGGGGACTGCTGTCCTTTAGTGGCAGAATAGGGAATATACACTCAACTGTGTCTTTGATAGCTGTTTCGGGTATGTATTTTTTTCTGAAACTGTTAAAAATATAAAAATATTTGTAGGTATTGAATATCTTGCATCTTCAGTCTCTTCTGATTTTGTACTGGATCCATCAATGTCAACAGAAGCTGACAAACTGAAAACTGCATATCAGTTTATGGTTCTAAAAGCAACAGACACCTTTTTTCTAGGTGCTGGAATAGAAGAGAGGATCTTAGGATGAGCAGCTTGTTCTTTTAAGGTCATAACTGAGAGTAAATACTCAGAACCAAGTGGAGATCCAGATCATCAGGCTTCTCAGCTTGATACTTTTCTGCCTCTAATCTGTCTGTAAAGAAATTTTTGAAAAACACGTATTTAATTTTTAGTGAAAAGTATACAAGACAATCTTTTCAGACTTGGAATCATGTGCAGGCTTTCTACGGTTTTGTTACATGTGATCAATAAGGTGACAAAACTCTCTTTTAGCTAGGCTAAATTATTTATTTTCCTAGTAAACTGACTTCTACCTTTTTTTCCAATTTTAAGATTATCTAAATATTTCCAATTCTATCTAAAAGCTATCCTAAAATACTCTTTGTTTATAATGTATATGTACCACTGAAACCCAGATACCTAAGGTTTACTATTTAAGATCAGTTGTGGGTGAAGTGACCCGCATTTGACTGACTTTGCACTGTGGCATGTAGCTTGAATGTTGTGCCTGTTTATTTGGGTTTGCTAAAAGGTACAGTTCACCTACTAACTGATGGCTAGAGATGTCTTAAAGGATAATCTAACTACATTTTTACTGTTTCTCTCAGAATGGGAGGTATTCCAGCTAAAAGCCATAAAGGAGAAAAGCTGCTTCTATTTATGGGTATTATTGATATTCTCCAGTCTTATAGGTAAGTTGAATTTCAAGCTTTTATTCATTAAGATATTCTGACATTACTTACATTTTATAAAGCAATTCCTTTTTTTTTTTTATGTGCTTAGATTAGTGAAGAAGCTGGAACATTCTTGGAAAGCTCTTGTTTATGATGGTGTAAGTACAGGGATTTTTTTATCTGCTGATATTTAAGCTAATGGAACGTAGACCAGGAAGGATCTAGCTCTGGTATATTTGAAGTCTACCATCACCACGTGGTTTGGGCTGTTGCTGAAATGTTTTAGGTCCATTTCCCAATACATGCTCTGATTTTATTTGTTGATCTTTCAAAAAGCAGCTAAAATGGTCAGCTTGTCTTTATGACTTCAGCAAGACAGCAGCCACTTAGCAGGACATTGATGACTCTATAGCTGAAAAATGTACACAATGTGAAAAAAAACTGCTTAGAATGCTAGGAAGTTTTTGCAGAATATGGCCATGTAAGTCATAAATCATAATTTCATAAATGAAATATCTAAAATAAAGTTCTTGAGGAATTAACCTTGGAAAAGGAAAAACTTTTTAAGATGCACTTGATTGTGGCTTAAATGTATGATATAGTTTACCTGAGATACTCAGCTTCCTCCTGACAGTTTACTTGTGATTTACTTATGGAAAATGTGACTGAGACCTTTTTAAATCTTGTAGGACACTGTTTCAGTTCACCGACCAAGTTTTTATGCAGACAGATTTTTAAAGTTTATGAGTACAAGAGTTTTCAAGAAAGTTCAAGGTAAGAAAGTTGTGACTTGCACTCTTTTAGATAGATATTTTTATTATATTTACTTTAGAACACTCCTGCGTTGGCAATAAGAGAATCCTTTCTTCAGCTTCATGTAGGTCTTAACATTGCTAGAAGTTGAGTTTCTTCACTGGAGCTAATGGGATTGTACTCTAATACTAGAAGTACAGAAATTTTTTTGCTATGTATTTTTTGTATAATAGTTTCCCTTATGGTAGCATTGATATAAAGATAACTTTCATTATCTAACGATGTGTCCAGTCCTGCATCTGTTATTTATAGGAATACCACCATTAATTTTAGTGTGTTTAATTTGCAAAAGTAAAGATTTACATACCACCTCCAGCATATTTGAAAAGATAGGCATTCTTCCTTTCTTCCCATCTTCTGTGCTTTATCAAGGAAAAAAAATCAGAAGTTGGAAATTAATAAAGTCTTTTGTATTTGTCACCGTCACCTATTTTTAGTTTTCCCCTCTATTTCTCACTTGTTAATCTTTTAATTAATTCTCAAGTGTAAGATACATATCACTGCTAGTTACTTACAGGGTATGTGGGTTGACCTTGGATAGATGCCAGATGCCCACCAAGCCACTCTACCCACTCCTCAACTGGACAGGGGAAAAAAATATAACAAAACCCTCATGGATTGAGATAAGTACAGGGAGTACAGGGAGAAAACACTCACCAGTTACAAATCAAGAGCAAAGCAGACTTAACTCAGGGAAATTAATTTAATTTATTACCAATCAAATCAGAATATGGTAATGAGAAATAAAACTCAGTCTCAAAACACCTTCCCACCACACCTCCCTTCTTGTTAGCTTCAACTTCACTTCCAATTTCTCAACCTCCTCCACCCAGGCAGTGCAGAGGCATGAGGAAAGGGCGTTCATCACACCTTGTCTCAGCCACTCCTTCTTCTTCACACTCGTGCCCTGCTCCAGCATGGGGTCCTTCCCATGAAAGACAGTCCTCCACAAACTTCTCCAACATGGGGCCCTTCCACAGACTTCTGTTCTTCATGAACTGCTCCAATGTGGGTACCTTCAGTGGGGTGCAGTCCTTCAGGAAAAGACTGCTCCAGTGTTGGTCCCCCGCAGGGTGAGCAAGTCCTGACAGCAAACCTGGCATGGGATCCTCTCCCCATGAGGTAACAGGTCCTGCCAGGAGCCTGCTCTAGTATGGACTCTCCACAGGGTCACAGATTCCTTCAGGGCACATTCAACTGCTCTGTTGTTAGGTCCTCCATGGGCTGCAGGGTGGATATCTGCTCCATTGTGGACCTCCATGGGTTGCATGGGGACAGCCTACCTCATCACGGTCTTCAGTAGGGGCTGCAGGGGAATCTCTGCTCCGGCACCTGGAGCACCTCCTCCCCCTCCTTCTTCACTGATCTTGGTGTCTGCGGAGTATTCTCTCTCACATATTCTTACTGTTCTCTTCTTGATGCTGTTGTGCAGCAATTTTTTTCCCCTTCTCTCTACGTTTTCACAGAGGTGCCACCACCATCACTGATGGGCTTGGCCTTGCCCAGCAATGGGTTTGTCTTGGAGCTCGCTGACATTGGTTCTGTTGGACATGAGGGAAGCTTCTAACAGCTTCTCACAGAAGCCACCTCTGTAGCCCCCCACTACCAAAACCTTGCCATGCAAACCCAGTACACAGAGGAAAGAAAAAAATCAAAGAGAAACCCACTGTTTCTACACAGGGACATTGCTACTGAGAGTTGTCCAAAGGCTTGAGATTAAGTCTTGGAGCAATAATTTGACTAGTGATTGTCACTTCTCTCAAAGAAAATTGATTTCTATAAGTTGAAGTAGAACTTCAAATCTGTAGATCACCTTCGGGCGTTGGGGATGGAGGATAAGAAATGGATGCTACATAATGAGTTCTTCTTCTGTTGTAGTTTAACCCTGGTGGGCAGGTGAGTCCCATACAGACAGTCATTCCCACACCCTGCCCATGGGATGGGGGAAAGAATTGAAAGGGTAAAAGTGAGCTTGGGTTAATGTAAAGATAGTTTAATAGGGAAAGTAAAGGAATTCATCCACTACCCATCAACAGGCGCGTGCTTAGCCATCTCCAGAAAAGCAGGGATTCATCACGTGTAATGGTTACTGGGGAAAACAAATGCCTTCACTGTGTATGCTTCCTCCTTGCTCCTGTTTATCTCATATTTTATTGCTGAGCATAGCATCATGTGATCTGAGATATTCCTCTGGTCACCTAGGGTCAGCTGTCCTGGCTGTATCCCTTCCCAAATTCTTGTGCACCCCCAGCCTCTTCACTGGCAGGGCAGTGTGAGAAGGTGCTGATGCTGTATAAGTACTGCTCAGCAATAACTAAAACCCTGGTGTGCTGTCAACACTGTGTTTTTGTCACAAATTTAAGGCACAGCACCATAGAGCTACTACAAAGAAAATTAACTCCGTCACAGCACTGCACCTCTAGAGAGTCCAAATGCTGAAGTAACTACTATGTAGGCATATGAAGTTAGATTTCAGCAAAGATGTTGGAGAAATAGCTGTCCCATTTTGTTTCTTGATTCCAAACAAAAGAACAAATTAATGTTACTTTAATCCCATAAAGCAAAATAGATGTTTTATCAAAATCTGAGTACAGCTTTGAAGTAAAATAGCAGAATTTGCAAGTATTAAAGTAACGGATTTATTTTCAGACTAGCTGAATTTAGCCTGACTTTGAAAATTAACGGGGGAAAATTAGCTATCATTCGTGAATACACATCTTGAACATAAATTCTTATATTCATCTCTACCTTGAAATATAGTTCCTCCATGTGTGATAAGTATATTCTTACGGCACAATTACAAAAAAGAAAAGAAAGTAAAGTCAAAGTTTAGAGACTCATCTTCTAAAAATCTTCTTCCATCAAAAGTTAAGATCAGGTTTTATTTTTACTAAAATTTCTACCGCTGGAAGTCAGTATTTTTCAGGCTGCGCTGGCCTTTGTTAATCTGCATTTTGTCTGATGATAATCACTTATTGCAAAAACAGTATCCAGCTGTTTTTGGAAGGAATCAAGTTATTTGGAGTGAGCTTGTGAAACTCTAACCCTGTCCGTGAAAACCGATGTTAGAGATGTGGCAGTTTAGAACATACATGATTAGGTCTGAAAGAGGTCTTTCTGGTAAGAAAGAAGTGATATTTTTGCTTAGCCTCTGGGAAACAGTATTTTGTGAGTTTCATTGCATTTTATAAAGCAGAGTTTTTGACAAATACAAATTAATTGGCTAGAACTATGTAGTTTATAGAGTCTAAAATTGATACTAGTTAGCTGTTTGATAATTGTACTTGAGGAACTGTATCTCATTTGGAGTTAAGTGTCAAAATGTGGAATAGACACTTGGCTCAAATGCTACAGAAGTAGTATTGAGCATGCGATGTTTTATCAAATTGATAGAAGGTGTTTTGTAAATACCTTTTTGTCCAGTATTATGCTGGTCTCTCAATGTTTTTATTAGTTACCTGCAGTGAGAAACAAGTCTATGTGGGAAGTGGTAGAACCAAATACAAATGAGGAACAGAACTAAACAAGAACTAAGTGAAACAATGTCGTGGATAAGGGCTCGGCCGGCCACTAACACGGACAGATGCTCTCTAACCCTCTCTTCCCCCCTAAATGGGAAGGAAAAGGGAATGAAGCAGAGAGACTTTCGGGTTAGAGAAGAAAAAAAACTAGAACAGCTTTAATGAAACAATAATAGAAATATAGATAGTAGCCCGATATCAAACCCGACTCCTTACCCCAAATAGCAATCACCACTGATGCTGCAGAGCAGGAGGCACTGGGAAAGCCCCAGGCTCAGCGGCAGCAGGAGCTGGATACAGGGAGCTGGATTCGGGAACTCAGAATCCAGATCAAAAGCAGGAGGTCAGATGGAGTCCTCCCTGGACACCGGCCGTTGCAGAAAAGGAGCAAAGAAGAAGAAAGAAGGGAAAGGGCAGAAACTCTCGTGATCACTCAATTTATACTAAATATGATGTATATGGGATGGAATACTCTCGTTGGTCACCTGTCCTGTCTATTACCCTCCCAGAGGTGCAACCTTTTACTTCCTTGTGACCCCTCTTACTACCCGGCACCCCCAGCGTGGCACACGAGAGCCAGGAGTGGCCTTGGTCACTGTAGGAATAAGTATCAGCAAGAGCCTTTCTGCATCCCAGTCCCAGGCAGTAACTGTAAACATCAGGTGTTATCACTGCCAGTAGCAGACACTGTCTGCAAAAACATGCTGCTGACTTCAGAAAGTGCAGCCTTTTAGAAGAGACTAAACTGGAAAGTAAAAATCACTAAATAGGACTGGGTTTTAGCTAAACCCAGGACAAACAAGAATGATTACAAATACTAACACAAATTAACAACTTAAGGTGTTAAATGTTAAACCCTTCAGAAACAAATTGGTTAATATTAAAATAAAAGGTCCTGATGTGATATGACAAAATTCAGCTGAAAGGAGGAAGGAGCCTCCTGAGACTCAAATCTCTTAAACCCTGGAATAATTTTGCCAAGAGAACTGGTGGAAGCTCTGTTATCTGAGACAATATTCAAAGGAACTCCTCTGCGCTGATAGAGAGTAAGGAATAGACAACTTGATCTTTCTGTCTGTTGGACAAAATAAATGTCTCATGCAACTAGATTTGTTTCCTGAACATTTGAGTCTATTTTCAGTTCTCTCTAATTCTGCCTTCTGTATCTGTGTCAGCACAAGACACAACCCGTTCTGTATCTGAAAGCTACAATGTACAATTAAGGACATCATGACTAATTTTCTATCTAATCTTTATTTGTCTGTCTCATTTTTCCAGGCTATTAACCTGTCTTAATATCACACTCTTATTGATCTGCTCTCCGTACAAGGTTATTAATCTACTTTTATACAGATTAATGGTTAAAATGCATTATCAGTCTTCCATAAAATAACAAATGGGAATTGTTCCTGTCTTAAGGAACATTGTTTCTAAAACTGAAGTTAGACATTTCTGTTTGAAATCTTAAGGCCTATTATGAATTTGTGCTTCTTCCCCTAGCACACAAAGCAGTCCTTCATAAAAAACAATAAAAACATAATAAGCACATTCAGCCTTGGGCAGAAGCTAGCTCAGCAGCTATCTCCTGTGTTATTTTTTAACAATGTCTTGGAGCTACACATCTGATTCTCTTCTTCAGTCTTTAGCTAAGTGTCTGGGATGCTTTTAATTTGAATTTTGTGGTACAGCACAGTATGAACTATTGGAGAGCAGCTGAAGTAACCTTGCAGCAAATGCATGGAGGTCAGCAGCTAGCAACTGAAAAACACTAAGCGAACTGGCTGGCATCCTTCTGGAGAAGAACTACAAATTAGGGGTGTCATGGTTCAGAAGTAGTAGCAATGGTCAGACCCTAGAGTTTCACCCAAAATGCCATGTTAAGTTGGCAGGCCCTGCTAAGAATTATAAAGGAGGTGATCATACCTAAATGTGCAAGCTGTCACTGTTTTGAAAGTGTTTCTTTTACTGAAAGATGTTTAACACATGCCACTGAAGTGGAAATTCTACTGTAGCACATTCATTATTATATATCAATAGTTCTTGGCTCCAGGAAATGATCATAACCTCTCAGAATACTCCAAATGCCTTTTGAATTTTCCTGTCTTTTGGTTTTTTTTCTGTACTGTTCTGTCTTTTATTACATGTGTTGATACTTCATAGGATATTTTTACCTTAATGATGTCAAAGTTAGTGGTTTTTTGTCCTATAAGTAGTAGGAAACCCCTGAAAAGACAAAAGTACTTCACTCAAAGATGAAATAACAATACCTTTGGCTCTAGTTTGAATATAACATTTAATAAGTCGGTTTGCATTGGATGTGTTCTTCATCCGTATTCAGAATATAGCTTTATATAGAGCTTGCTTTTCTATATGCTATTAAAGATGTACAAGGGAATAAAATGACACCACTCAACACCTATGTCTATTTGGTAATGCAGCTTTAAAGTCTTCACCTTCAAAGAAACGGTGCAATTCCATCACAGCCCTGAAGGCAGCGTCACAAGAGATAGTGTGTGCTGTTAGCCGGGAGTGGAAGGATGAAAGGCATGGCATTCTTGCTGAAGGACAAAGCTGTGCCAGCCTTGATGAGGAAGGTAACTTCTTTCCAATCAGCAGCCTAAACAATGTTTTTAAAGGAACTTAGTATAAGCTCTAGAAGCCCTATATCTAGAAAGACTCCTGTCTCGCTGATCTTTCAAAACTTCAGAGTCAGGTTATTCTCATGGAGAGAGTTGCTAACTGTATTTGACAGAGTGGACCTTCAAGAGAAGGAGGAAGTCAGAATCAAGGTTATAGTATGTTATTAATCTTCTGGGTTTCAGGGAATCCTAAAAAAATTACTCAGCCTGCTTAGTGGATAAAGGCCAGAGCCAGTGCTGTTCTTTTCACTGACTTTTAAAAAAACATGTCACATGAAGTGTTTTGAAGCGAAATTAATTGTTCCCAGAGTATTTTTGAAGAGTTACAGTCTTTGCTTCAAGAAGCTGTTGAGAGGACTACCTGACTCCTTACACTTGCATAAAGATTCCTGGATTAATTTGAAATGAAATTTGTTAATGTTATTTATTTTTATCTATGAAGTACTAGGTTCACGCCATCAGCCAGATCTAGTGCCAAGCACTCCATCTCTGTTTGAAGCAGCTTCCTTGGCAACCACAATTTCTTCTTCTTCCTTGAATGCAGATGAGCATTATCAGCGTGATCAACCTATGCTCTACTCTAGCAGGTAAAAGCTGTACGTGTGGTAGAGGATTCCCCACTGTTTTACTAAAAGGCTGACAGTGTGTACAATGGAAGGGGGCTCTGAAAAAGAAAAGTCAGAAGAGGAAGTTTCTCTGTAGCTCTGTCCTGAACCTCTTCACTGATGGAGGGGCCCCAAACACTGATGGATCTCTTTACCCTGTGTACTAAAAAAATAGCCATTGCTGTGTCTGTTTTTGTCAAGAAGGGTAACCGTTGTGAACTCTAGTATCTTGAATTTTGTTGGGAATAATTTGGAATCCTGGACTACACTGTGACTATGTAAATTTGATAAGCTTACTCGTGCACTGAGATGTAATCTTTTTCATTAAACTCATGTTATCCAGAAACTTCAAGTTATTTTCAAAGCAATCTTAAGACAGTAGGATTTTGACTCCTATTAAAATTGGATCTACTGCATTTTCATAAGAAGTAAAATGACTTGCAGAGTTACTTGATCGACGTGATATTTCCATTTTCATTAAGATGAAATAAGTCTCACTGATGTGGATAGGCTTTGCTGTAAGAATTTGGAATGTGGTATGGTTTGTGGTGTAACAAAGGTGAAGTTTAATTACAAAACCATCAGAAGTTGTCCCAAAATGCACTTACACAAGCCTTAGGAGATAAAATTACTAATGAGTACATATTAGTAGAAATAGAGCTCCTTTAAGTCAACTTCTGTAAGTCTTGCCCAGCTTGTGATTAAGTTAGCTGTAGGACTTCAATATTCCATGATCTTTTACCAAGTTTTATCTTCGCTAGATAGAAGGTTATAGAGCAGTGAGGTTTTTTATATGCTTGAAGCTTCAAATAAAACTATGTAACTACTTTGTTTGGGCATCAGTCAGCAAAAGAGAGCTGTGGAGTTGTCTGGATAAAGAGTTCAGATTTACTGCATATAAAACTTTTCAAACCATAAATTAACGGTAGAGAAAAAATATTAATAAGTTAATATTATTTTCATGTGAAGATATTTCAAAACACTCCTAAAATAAATAAGATCTTTAGCAGATCTACACTTTGATTGTAAGTTTAGACTTCTTTAGTCTCCAGTTGTGAGAGTCAGTCAGTGAAATAACCTGAAATGTAGTACATGGTGTCAGTTATGTGGTTACTCTGCACATACCTTAGAAAATCATACTGGAACTGTAGTGTCTGCAGTCCGGGTTTGCGTACTTCCAGTTCCTCACTACAGTAGCACACATTCTCAAACACAGCAGACCTTGCACAAGCATGCATGGATCTTTGGCTCTCTCCATGTCTTGTGTCAAAACAAAAAGTCTTTGCCCTGTGGCCAAGAGATCTGTGACGGGAGCTGACCAACTAACATCCTTGCTGATGTAGGTGCATCCTCCACTGACAGGGGTTTGTGGCAGTTATTTTCTCCAGGCAGGTTCATGTCACCAGCTCAATACATACAATTCATGAGCATTAGCTTTCTTGTCACACCTGATGACTTTCTTTTAGGATTTAGGAAAACTGCTAAGCATACTCAATATTAAACTTAGCTAACTCGTTTAGAGCATGATGCTGATAACACCAAGGTC